TTTTTTTTTTTTCAGAGACGGGGTCTTGCTGTGTTACCCAGGCTGATCACAAACTCTTGGCTTCAAGAAATCCTCCTGCCTCAGCTTCCCAAGAAGCTGGGATTACAGGCGTGAGCTACTGCCCATGGCTTGCTGCCATGAGCTTGATTCAGCAGTTCTCTCTAAACTTGATGGGTCTAACCTCTCACCCCAATTCCTCCATGTCTCAACTCCACCATTATGAAAATTCTCACACATGCCACTGCCTTACTACCATAAATCTTCCTCCCGTTGTTCCAGAAATGAGTCTACATGGGCTTTCACATGAGCTAACTGCACATTTATCACTTTGGCTTGTGTTGACCATTGGCCATAATCTTCTAAGTCATAGCAGATGAACCAGTGTGATTCATGCAAGAATGGTAGGAATGACTGTGACAAATGTTTGTCTTTAGAAAGACAAACATTATTTGTAGCATGCTTGTGGTGGGAAAGTAATCTAATATGCAAAAGACATCTGAATTTATTAGGTTGGTATAGCTATAACATAACTACTAATATATGAGATTTTTCTCAGAGACTGATAACAGCTTTATTGCATGTGAGTCCTTGTCATTTATTGCTTCCTACTACTATAAAAACTGAAAATAGCATATTATTCCTTGACCAGCTGACATGAGTTTGTGATTCATTTGACTAGAAATGTACCCTCTAACCACAGCACTTCAATTTATGGTCATAGTTGGTTTGACAATAAATTTAAAAACATAATTAGAGAGCACTTAGGAAATTGGTCTACTTACCTCGATTAGAGTTTCTAAGGTGGTTATTTATTGTGGGCCAAAACTCTACTTAAGTTTTGTAACTTTACGAAAGTTATGCAGATAAGTCAAAAGATCTAACTAAGTAGATAAAAAGCTATGAAGTCTCTTCATATTGCTTCAGCTCTGAACAGAAGGACCTGTCCAGGGTCACACTCATATGTGTGAGAATCAAGAGGCAGCAGGTACACGAGAGGGAAAATGCTGTGAGCAATGAGCTTGTGGCAAAAAAATGAAAATAACCATGTTGGCAACAGATAATGGACAGCGAGGAGGAATGACTGTTCCTCAGCTCTGCCCCTTTGTTTGTGCACAGAAACAGTGGTCCAGCAGCCATCCAAAGAGAACACAAGAGAAACAGATCTTCCTATTTTGAAGCCAGGAGTTTGAGACCAGGACAACATAGCAAGACTCCATCTCTAAAAAGAAAGAAAGATCATGACTGTAAAAGGAAAACTTGCATCAAGGAAGATTGGCATGTAATGTTGGTAGGAATGGTCTGGGATACACTAAAGAGGAGACCAACAGAACTTGGCAAAAAAAAAAAAAAAAAAAAAAAAAAACTATGAATGGAATTATTGACTTAGTACCTAGTAGTATTGTACCTACTGGTAGCACCTTTAATACTTAGCAGATATATTAAATCTGGTTTTTTTTTTTATTTTTTTATTTTTTATTTTTTTGAGGCGGAGTCTCGCTCTGTCGCCCAGGCTGGAGTGCAGTGGCGCGATCTCGGCTCACTGCAAGCTCCGCCTCCCGGGTTCACGCCATTCTCCTGCCTCAGCCTCCCGAGTAGCTGGGACTACAGGCGCCGCCACCACGCCCGGCTAATTTTTTTGTATTTTTAGTGGAGACGGGGTTTCATTGTGTTAGCCAGGATGGTCTTGATCTTCTGACCTCGTGATCCGCCCGCCTCGGCCTCCCAAAGTGCTGGGATTACAGGCTTGAGCCACCGCGCCCGGTCTTAAATCTGGTTTTAAATCCCAACACTTTTGCTTGATTTTTGGCTTTTAAAAAAAAAGAAATCAAAAGGATTGGGTGAGGCCAGGACAACCGCTGTTGTGAGAAATGGGGGAAATTTTGAGATTTGGCACTTACAGGTTCTTATTTAAGAATCCCATAAAAAATCCTGAGTAGATTGCCTGGGTGTGGTGGCTCATGCCTGTAATCCCAGCACTTTGGGAGGCTGAAGCGGGCAGATCATGAGGTCAGTAGATCGAGACTATCCTGGCTAACACAGTGAAACCCCATCTCTACTAAAAATACAAAAAATTAGCCGGGCATGGTGGCATGCGCCTGTAGTCCCAGCTACTCGGGAGCCTGTGACAGGAGAATTGCTTGAATCCAGTAGGCAGAGGTTGCAGTGAACCGAGATCGCGCCACTGCACTCCAGACTGGGCAACAAAGCGAGACTCTGTCTCAAAAAAAAAAAAAAAAAAAAAATAGTAGATATAATGTTCAGAGATGAGAGGCATGAACAAAGACAAAAGTTGAAAACTGATAAAGAGATAAAAAGATAAAAAACTGAACACCCCTCAAATGTCATTTCTCCTAGCATTTGAACCCTTTAAAATCTCACTATCCCAAGGCAATCCTCAAAAAGCATTTATTGGCCGGGTGCAGTGGCTCATGCCTGTAATCCTATCACTTTGGGAGGCCGAGGCAGGTGAATCACTTGAGGTTAGGAGTTCGAGACCAGCCTGGCTAACATGGTGAAACCCCGTCTCTACTGAAAATACAAAAATCAGCCAGGCGTGGTGGCACATGCCTGTAATCCCAGCTACTCGGGAGACTGAGGCAGGAGAATCGCTTGAACCTGGAAGGTGGAGGTTGCAGTGAACTGAGATCGCGCCACTGCACTCCAGCCTGGGTGGCAGAGCCAGACTCCATCTCAAAACAAAACAAAACAAAACAGAAAACCAACAAAAAAACACAATTTATTTTCCACTTAATGACTAAGAGCTATCAGTTTCCCACATAGACCATTTCTTCACATAAAAACCATTCTATTATAGTGAGCATATAAACCACACTTAAAAGTACAGTTGGCCGACACGGTGGCTCATGCCTATAATCCCAACACTTTGGTAGGCCGAGGCGGGTGGATCACCTGAGGTCAGGAGTTCGAGACCACCCTGACCAACATGGAGGAGCCCCATCTTTACTAAAAATACAAAAATTAGCCAGCCGTGGTGGCGGGCGCCTTAGTCCCAGCTACTTGGGAGGCTGAGGCAGAAGAATCACTTGAGCCTGGGAGCAGAGGTTGTGGTGAGCCGAGATCACACCATTGCACTTCAGCCTGGGAAACAAGAGTGAAACTTTGTCTCAAAAAAAAAAAAAAAAAAAAAGTACAGTCAAGCAGGCCGGGCGGGGTGGTTCACGCCTGTAATCCCAGCACTTTGGGAGGCTGAGGTGGGCAAATCACCTGAGGTCAGGAGTTCGAGACATGCCTGGCCAACATGGTGAAACCCCATCTCTACTAAAAATACAAAAATTAGCTGGGCTTGGTGGCGGCCACCTGTAATCCCAGTTACTCGGGAGGCTGAGACAGAAGAATTGCTTGAACCCAGGAGGCGGAGGTTGCAGTGAACCAAGATCATGCCACTGCACTCCCGCCTGGGCAACAAGAGTGAAACTCTGCCTCAAAACAAAACAAAACAAAAAAACCCAAAAGTACAGTCAGGCTGGCATGTGACTCACAGCTGTAGTCCCAGCACTTTGAGACTTTGGGAGGCTGAGGTGGGAGAATTGCTTAGCCCAGGGATGTCAAGGCTGCAGTGAGCTGTGCCATCGTGTTCCAGCTGGAGTGACAGAATGAGATCCTATCTCAAAATAAATAAATAAATAAAGATTTTAAAATATGGAAAAGTACAATCAGAGGACTAAGATTTATGTTCATATATGTCCATTGCAACATTATTTATAATATCAGAACACTAAAAAAAATAAAAATGTGTAACCATTTGTATGGCTAAATATCTTCACTTGATGAAAGATATGGTGTTTAAGAACATGTAATAAACCTTAACAAAAAAAACCCTAAAAAGCAAGATACTATTAAATTGTATGTACAGAATGATTTCAACTGTGTTTTAAAAATAAAAAAAGATTTAAAAAATAAAAATATAAAACTTATATCTACTTGGGGAAGACTATGTTTTTTCAGGAGAATGTATTATATACAGAAAGAATGTTAAGGTTCACAAGGACTAGATAGAAGAACTTAATCATAAGATAAATACAGGCCAGGTGCAGTGGCTCACGCCTGTAATCCCAGCACTTTGGGAGGCCGAGATGGGCAGATCACGAGGTCAGGAGATCGAGACTATCCTGGCTAACATGGTTAAAGCCCGTCTCTACTAAAAATACAAAAAAATTCGCCCAGCATGGTGGCAGGTGCCTGTAGTCCCAGCTACTCGGGAGGCTGAGGCAGGAGAATGGTATAAGCCTGGGAGGCGGAGCTTGCAGTGAGCCCAGATCGCACCACTGCACTCCAGCCTGGGGGACAGAGCCAGACTCCGTCTCAAAAAAAAAAAAGGTAAATACAAGTGAGGAAAGGAATTAGATAAAATAGTATGAAGTAAATAGAATTTAAGAGTTCAAGGCTGAGTGCAGTGGTTCACGCCTGTAATCCCAACACTTTGGGAGGCTAAGGCAGGTGGATCATTTGAGGTCAGGAGTTGGAGACCAGCCTGACCAACATGGATAAACCTAAAAATAAAAATAAAAATTTGCCAGACGTGGTGTCGCATGCCTGTAGTCCCAGCTACGCAAGAGGCTGAGGCAGGAGAATCACTTGAGCCCAGGAGGCAGAGGTTGCAGTGAGCGGAGATCGTACCACTGCACTCCAGCCTGGGCAACAGAGCAAGACTCAGTCTCAAAAAAAATAATTCAGGGAAATTGCATCATCTATGTCTTTAATTTCTGACAAGTCAACTATGTTCACACAAACTGTATTTTCAATACAAGGGAGGCCTGAAATGCAAACCAATGACTTCATTTGTTGCCGATCCACAGCAACAGTGATGGACTCCAACGCTGGAGGAAAAACTGGCTGCACCACATTTATGAAGAGATGGTAAAGAATATATTAATCCTGACTATTACTATACCCTGGACAATTCAAGGGATTTTTCCAGAGTAATATTCATAGATCAGATGCAATTTTCATTTGACATATACTGTAGAATATAACTTTTGGTGCTAGTTTCAGCAGCACATATACTAAAATTGGAATGATGCAGAGAAGATTAGCATGTCCCCTGCATAAGGATGACATGCAATTTCATGAAGCGTTTCATATTTTAAAAATACCTATCAGGTACTACGCTTGGTACCTGGGTAATGAAATGTTCTGGACACCAAATTCTCGTGACATGAGTTTACCTATATAACAAAACTGAACAATGTGCCCCTGAAGCTAAAATAAAAGTTAAAAAAGAAAAAAAATAATGCAATCTTTGATTAAAAAGTGACTCCTACCTTGATTTTAAGAAAATTTTTTATCATTTAGTTTAATTCCATGTAGGGATCATAAATAAATAGTCTAATTTTGAAAAAAACACTGCGATAGAATTTACATAGCAGCATTCCCCCTTTTAAAGTATAAATTTGTTTTGTTGTTGTTGTTCATTTGTTTGAGGCAGAATCTTGCTCTGTCACCCAGACTGGAGTGCAATGGCATGATCTCGGCTCACTGCAACCTCCACCTCCCCAGTTCAAGTGATTCTCCTGCCTCAGCCTCCCGAGTAGCTGGGATTACAGGCGCCTGCAACTATGCCTGGCTAATTTTTTTTGAGATGGAGTCTCGCCGTGTCGCTCAGGCTGGAGTGCCGTGGCACGACCTCAGCTCACTGCAACCTCTGCCTCCTGAGTTCATGCCATTCTCCTGCCTCAGCCTCCCGAGTAGCTGGGACTACGGGCCCCCACCACCACGCCCAGCTAATTTTTTTGTATTTTTAGTAGAGACAGGGTTTCACCATGTTAGCCAGGATGGTCTCGATCTCCTGATCTCGTGATCCGCCCGCCTCGGCCTCCCAAAGTGCTGGGATTACAGGCGTGAGCCACCGCGCCCAGCCCATTTTTGCATTTTTAGTAGAGACAGTGTTGCACCATGTTGGCGAGGCTGGTCTCGAACTCCTGACCTCAAGTGATCTGCCCACCTTGGTCTCCCAAAGTGCTGGGATTACAGGCCTGAGCCACCACCCTTGGCCTGGAACCCCCCTTTCCAGTTTGAATTCCCTCATGTCCTCTACTCACACCTCTGTACCTCCAGCATTACCTCCTCCTTCTTCAGTTTAAATCCCATCCATTTTACAAGTCCGACTTCAAATCACCAGTTCTTTGATAAAGCCTTCCCAAGCTATCTGACCCCCAGAGACAGCTTCCCAAATTTCACTGCATACAGTAGCTGCACCATTTGTTTGGCAAATATTCTGCCTTTCTGGCATATATTTATGGCACATTGTAGGCGCTGCATGTATGTTGAATGAATGAATGAAACTCTACACCAGATTATAAGCAAATTGAAAATCATGGCTTATGCTACGGTCTAATCCAGGGCTGTAGAGTGGTTAAGGGGAGATATATGGCAATGATGAAAATATTTGAAAAGCTTAGGAGCCCCAGGGAGGGAGGAGCATTTCCCAGAGTCCTCTCTGTTTCCTTAGTTTAGAGCAGTACCAATTTACCTTCTCTCTATGATCAAAATATTTGTGTCCCCCAAAATTCATATATTAAAAACCTAATCCTCAAGGTGAGGGATGGTATTAGCAGGTGGGCCCATTGGTGAGAGGTGACAACATGCTAGCAGCCCTCACTCTCGTCGACTCCTCGGCCTCAGCACCCACTCTGGTGGCGCTTGAGGAGCCCTTCAGCCCGACACTGCACTGTGGAAGCCCCTCTCTGGGCTGGCCAAGGCAGGAGCCGGAGCCGACTCCCTCTGCTTGCTGGGAAGGTGCGGAGGGAGAGGCGTGGGCGGGAACCCGGCCGAGCTGGGTGCTCACAGGCCAGCGCGAGTTCCGGAGGGCGCGGGCCGGCTTGGCGTGCCCCGCAGTCGGAGCCGCCAGATGGCGCTGCTGGCCCGGGCAGTGAGGGGCTTGGCACCCAAACCAGCAGCTGCGGAGGTTGTGCCAGGTCCCCCAGCACTGCCGGCCGCATGCACCACTCTTGAATTCTCGCGGGGCCTCAGCTGCCTCCCTGTGGGACAGAGCTCCAGACCTGCAGCCCGAAATGTCTGAGCCGTCCGCTCTGCCGTGGGTTCCTGCGAGGTCGGGGAGCCTCCCCTATGAGTGCCGTCCTCCACTCTGCAGTGCTCGGTCCCATCAACCGCCCAAGGGCTGAGGAGTGCGGGTGCACTGCGCGGGACTGCTGGGCAGCTTGGCCTGCAGCCCGGGTGCAGGATACACCAGGAGAAGCCAGCTGACGTCCTGAGTCTAGTAGGGACTTGGAGAACCTTCATGTCTAGCTAAGGGATTGTAAACGCACCAATCAGCACTCTGTCAAAATGGACCAATCAACTCTCTGTAAAATAGACCAATCAGCAAGATGTGGGAGGGGTCAGATAAGGGAATAAAAGCAGGCCAGCAGTGGCAACCCGCTAGGGTCCCGTTCCACACTAGTGGAGCCTTAGGTGTTTTGCTCTTTGCAATAAATCTTGTTGCTCCTCACTCTTTGGGTCCACGTGGCGTTTATGAGCTGTAACACTCACCACGAAGGTCTGCAGCTTCACTTTTGAAGCCAGTGAGGCCATGAACCCACCCACCAGGAGGAATGAACAACTCCAGACGCGCCACCTTTAAAAGCTGTAACACTCACCGCGAAGGTCTGCAGCTTCACTCCTGTCAGCCAGACCACAAACCCACCAGAAGGAAGAAGCTGCAGACACATCTGAACATCTGAGGGAACAAACTCTGGACACACCATCTTTAAGAACTGTAACACTCACCGCGAGGGTCTGTGACTTCCTTCTTGAAGTCAGCAAGACCAAGAACCCACCAATTCTGGACACATGGTGAGGTTATTAGATCATAAGAGGGGAGACCTCATGAATGGAATTAGTGCTTATGAAAGAGGCCCCAGAGGGCTGCCTTTCCCCTTCCACCACGTGAGGACACAGTGAGGTGCTGCTCACCAACCAGAAGGCAGGCCCTCCATAGACACCACACCACATCTTCCGGTGTCTTTATCAAAGACTTTCCAGCCTCCAGAACCATGAGGAAACACATCGTTTTGTTTATTTACTTATTTATTTATTTGAGACGGAGTTTCACTCTTGTTGCCCAGGCTGGAGTGCAATGGCACGATCTTGGCTCACCGCAACCGCTGCCTCCCGGGTTCAAGCGATTCTCCTGCCTCAGCCTCCCAAGTAGCTGAGACTACAGGTGTCTGCCACCACGCCTGGCTAATTTTTGTATTTTTAGCAGAGACAGGGTTTCACCATGTTGGCCAGGCTGGTCTCGATTCTTGACCTTGTGATCCCGCCTGCCTCGGCTTCCCAGAGTGCTGGGATTACAGGTGTGAGCCACCGTGCCTAGCCTTGTGATTCGATTTTTCTAGCTAATGATAATCACTTTCTGAAAATAAGTGCTTTTACTTTTATCTTAATATTTTGAAAAAATATCTTTACCAGAACTTTTCCTTCATCAGTGAATAGCGTTCATTGGACAGTTCTTCCTGGTCAAGAAAAAGGGAAAAGGAAACTTCTGGGTTACTTTGGCCTTACAATTCTAACTGCACATCCGTGGACACATCACCAAATGCTATTTGTTGTCTCACATATTTGACAGATGAGTTGAAATGCTTTTCTGTAATTCAGCAAATATTTAAATGGGAACACTGTGCTAGGCTTTTGTGAAATATATAGATGCATGAGAAAGTCTTGGCCATCCGTGGATGATAAGACACAAAGAGAGATAACTTCAGAAGAACTATTTCAGGCATCCCTTCTGAGTCACCACTGGCAATAGATTGGGCTTTAGACCAAGAAAAACGAAACCCAAGATTAAAAAAAAAAAGTCCTTTCAATTTACTGGGCAACCAACCAAAACTATAGACTTTTCAAGTTTTAGATAACATTACAAAGAATCTTTCTTGATTATACATTTGCTCTTGTAGCAACATAAAACGTTTTCTGTGTTTATAGTTAAAGTGCTGGTTATGTGACTTTTACTGTTGGGGATAGATGTGGATTTTTACTTGTGTTTAATTGTGGAGAGTGAATATATAACTCCTCTCCTCCCCAGCTCCTGCCTACCTTTCGGGGGGTGGTGAGGGGGAATCAGGAAGGAACTAAAACACAAGGCTTTTCCTCCCATTTTACATTCAAACTTGTCTCACAGGAAATGAACAAAATAGTGTTTCTCAAATGTAACATTGTACTTCTCTGTGCTATGGTACAAAAAGAGCTTTACAGGAATTTTTTTTAAGGACAAATGTGGACTTGGATTTTCTTTTCTTCTCTTTCCTTTTTTTTTTTTTTTTTTTTTTTTGAGACAAAAGGAGTGTCTGTCCCCAAGGCTGGAGTGCAGTGGAGCGATGTCGGCTCACTGCAACCTCCGACTCCAGAGTTCATGCAATTCTCCTGTCTCAGCCTTCTAAGTAGCTGGGATTACAGGCGCCTGCCACCACACCTGGCTAATTTTTGTATTTTTAGTAGAGACAGGGTTTCGCCATATTGGCCAGGCTGGTTTTGAACTCCTGACCTCATGTGATCCACCCACCTCAGCCTCCCAAAGTGTTGGGATTACAGGTGTGAGCCACCGCGCCTGGCCAAGAACTTGGATTTTCATTTCCTGAAGAATACATTCAAGATCTGCAAAATCTCATCCCAAATCATTTCCAGCTTTATCTACATATCCACCCTTACTCCATGTACCCAGCAATATCCTGTGAAGCATGTGGAATATTTTTATTTCCATATCTGGATTCCATCCCCCCTTTAAAATGCCCTTCTCTCTTTTCTTTCCTCACAATCCTACTGCTAAAATCCTCATCTTTCAAGGCACATCTTCAAAGAGGAGGCATCCTTAAAGCATCCCACTCACCATTCTCCAAACTAGTATTTCCCCTTTCCTGAATTTTAATAATTTTCTATAATGAAGAGTTATTGTGGCCGGAGCAGTGGCTCATGCCTGTAATCCAGCACTTTGGGAGGCTGAGGTGGGCACATCACGTGAGGTCAGGAGTTCGAGACCAGCCTGGCCAACATGGTGAAACATCATCTGTACTAAAAATACAAAAACTAGCTGGACATGGTGATGCACGCCTGTAGTTCCAGCTACTCGGGAGGCTGAGGCAGGAGAATCGC